CTGTGGCTGGGGGCCATAGGGCAGGGGGGACGCGAGGGGCTCTGGGGGTCGCTCTTTTGGAACCCCTGACCGTGGCAATGTGTGAGGGGTGGTCTCCAGGTCAGAGAGCAAGGCATCTGCAGGGAGGCCGTCAAGGTGAGAAGTTGAGAGGTCAAGGTTAGGGCCGAGACCAGGCCTTAAGATATCAAAGGATAAGGCTTCCAAGTGGGCGGTATTTGAGGACAGAAGCCAGTATTAAGAAGGAAACACAAGGCCAGACCAAGGCAGAGAAGTGGAAGGGTAGTAAGGAATATATTTGACCAGAATATCCCAATGGCTCATCCTGGGAGCCATGCACAAACCCAGCCGTCTGATTTCTTTTTTCCTTAAAATCTTCCCTAATGCAGTCAAAATTGGCTCTTTACTGAAGCCAAAGTTGACTCCACCCCAAATTGCTCAATTGGCTACATGCCTGGCACCCAGCCTGCTGATTGGACGCTCTTTGCCACGCCCACTAATTCCTCCCCGGACCTAGCCCCGCCCACTCAGCGCTGGCTCACCTCCAGGCCCCACTGGGTCCCATCCTCTGCACCTCATTGGTGAATCTGCAGGGACCTGCTTTCTGATTGGCTTATTCTCCACAGTACCAGTGCCCGCTACCCCTACTGAACAGCACCCCCTATTGCAGGGTGCTGGAACCCCTTCTGTCTCACAGTCGGAGGGCACAGCCTTCCAGCCCCAGTTCCGACAGATAGGGAGTACAAAATGCCTCCTCCTTCCACCCGGACACCACTACCACCCCACCCCACCCCCATCCCCTTTCCCTTCCAGAGCCCAGCAGTCCCTGCCCCCTCACTCTTCATCTAGAGCACCCCGGCGGAACCCTGACCCTCTCCCCGGCACCTACCAAACTTAGGGACCCTTAACTCTTTCCTCCCCCAAACCCCGGGGCAGGCCCCGTTCTTTTCCAGAACTTGATGTCAAAGCCTCCCTTTCCTGTCTACTTTCCCAGTCCCGGACCCAGGACCCCTCCAACCCCTCCCATCCCAGAGCCCCTGAGCCCCTGAGCCCCGGCGCCCGCGGGCAGGCACGCACCTCCCGGCGCGTCCGCAGCTGGGATGGAGGGGCAGGGAGAGGAAGGAGGGAGGGAGCGGCCGGCCCGGGAAAGGCAGGAAGGGAGAGGCAGGAAGGGGGACGTGGAGT